AATATCCTTGTTGGAGAAGACGAACGAGCATGTCTAGCGGATTTTGGACTGTCGTATATCAAAGGCTACACAAACGAAGCCCTCTCCTCTGTTGCCGCACTTGGCACACCGCGATTTTTGGCTCCAGAACTCCTCGACCCAGACATTGAAGACGCCAGGAGGACTGAAGCGAGCGACATCTTTGCTTTTGGAATGGTCTGCTACGAGGCAAGTGACAAGGATCGCCACGCGGCCACCTCGAAGTTTACTTGACCATCAGATGTTTTCTATGAGGCTTCCGTTTGAAAGAGCCACGCCGGTCGCTGTAATCCACAAGATCCTGAGCGGTAAACGTCCCGAACGCCCAAATGAACAAATTCACTTGAAGCGTGGCTTGACAGATGATATGTGGGCTTTGGTGGAAAGCTGTTGGGCAGGCGAACCCCAACAACGGCTGACTGCCACGCAGATATTAGCGCACCTGCAGCATCATGATATAGGTATCAATAACGATCTTCGATCCGATAGAAGTACGCGCATTCGAAGATCTGGTTTTGAGATTGTCAGTACCAGCGGACAAGAGGACACCACGATCACTGCTGCACTTCCTCATTTAAAATTCTTATTTGCCTGAATTTCTTCCATCGTCGTAATACCTTCAATGGTGTCGCACTGAGCGAAACTTATAGTTGTTATTGGAAGTTGGGCAAGCTCGCAAAAGAATCCCGAGACCGCTCGGGCTCCTGGAGTGCGTCTCCACCACTGTATTAAGACCGATTTACATCTGAATAGAAAGTATAAGAGCCACACCAGTGGCCACATCTATACCCAGGGTAAGTACAGCCAAACATAGAACACATACTTGATGCGTATATCAAACCCACGGCGTGTGTACAGAGAAAGGAATTGAGACCATTATTCACGTCAAGCAGCATGATGCACGGTCTTGAGACATCTAACCCAGAGTGCACGTTCATCATGGGGTACATGACGAATACGCAAGACTACGTCATCAAGAGGTGACAGAAAACAATCCTTGTGCCTGTAAATATCCTGCCACGTCACTCGCCTGGATGTGAAGAAAATAAAGGTCTGCATAGATGGCACATTACCATTCTTAAATCTTTTGTTCTAACACGTTGCGATCCTTGGCAAGATTTAGCAAAAAAGCCAAGAGCCAAGAACTGGACGTATAGTCTGACTTTGGATGTTTCAGTGCAGTCCTGTAGGTCGTAAAAATGCCTGGTGGCCGAGCAAGGAAAAAGGCTGGGAAAAGATATACTTCCGTTCTTCGCTTCAGAATAGATGGCCAAGCGTCCCAAGCCTCCAAGCCAAGCCTCCAATTTTCCAAAAGTATTGTGGGCGCTCATTGCAAGACAGTGGCGCCGCGTCAAAACCATTTTCTTTGCAAGAAGTCTGTCAACGTAGAGAGGTGCTCCAGCACTTGTGAAATGGTGACTGCCATAACCGTATCCTGCGCCCAAGCAAGTGAGATGATATGGCATGCGCACAGCACTGGAAACGAGTACCATTGATATCAAGACGTCCTTTTACTTACATGTCGAAACTCACCTCGGGGACCCGAAGGCCTTGGCGATCGAAGCTTGAAATTTTGAAAGCTTGACGTAGGAGGTAAATATATCTTGGCACGTTCAAAATAACTTTACACACGTTGATAAACTGAGGACGCGGTGCGGGGCAGGGTTGGAGATGTCAGGGTCGTCGGCTTGAAATAAAATGGCAGCCAACTGATTACCAGATGGGCTGACAAAACAAGACCACGAACGCGCCTTCGGCAGTGTAAGGCAAGGAACGCGCGTATATTGGTACTGCGCTGCGGACGCTTCTCAGAGTACGGTACAAGTTAACGTACTAGTCCGGTTTCATCACGGAACATTGAAACAGAGATGCCAAGCATGACCAAAGTCGCTTATTTATCGCAGGTAATTATAGCACGCAATCGCCATGTTACTGTGCCTGTGTTCTCAATCTCCGTCTCCCCAACTGTTCGACTGTCCTTAGACCGCAACCACCATCTTCCTTAAAAACCCCTTCCAAGCACACCTATTAAATACCCAGTATTTCGTGTGTTCCTCGCCTTCACCGCGTCAAATCAACCGTACCTGATAAGCTGAACACGCCTGAACATCTCTAAAACAATTCTTGAACATCGACCGCAACTTGTGATGCATAGAAATGGGCACGATTTATCGTTGAGTTTGAAGAATGACGATGTGCCCGTAAAGCCTCACATCGAACCTCTTCAGTGGAGCTGGGAGATTGAACACGCCGACCGCAAACGCGAGACCCAGGCAGATGCTGCCACCCACGGCGCGACACCTTTCCAAGTCGATAGAAAAGTTCTGAAGGACGTCGTGCGCGAGAATAGAGGAGTAGAAGTTGGAAGGATTGAATATCTGAATGCAGGTAAGTGCCGTACAGCCAGACCGGACCATGTTCTAACATCCTCGGGCACGGATAGGAACCTTTCATAAGGTGTGTCAACGCAGATCGGTGACGATGTCAATGCTAAACAGTCTTCTTAGGCATACCTTATCAAACTGGTCGACCACACTGAGCTAGTCGCAACCGTAGCCCGGCGATATATGCCCCGCCTAAAAACTGAATCAGAAGTTGCTACCATGCATTATCTTCGTGAAAACACCAATATTCCAGTCCCTAATGTGTATCACTACGACTCTAATCCATATAATCGACTTGGTGGCGAGTACATCCTAATGTCAAAGGTACGTCGATGAGGAGTTGTCTAGACACACTTACAAGTGATTAACCTGTGTAAAGGCTCCTGGCGTACAACTTGGAACCATTTTTCACTCATTGAGCTATCCCGAACTCGCCAAGCTCCTCGAAAATCTCGCCGAGATCCTTCTGCCTCTGTTCGCACATCGGTTCTCCAACATCGGGTCACTGTATTTTGGTCCAAACCCTTATGGGCCCCTATCCTCATCCGCACCAACACCGAAAGCCATCCAGCTCCCATACGCTGCTTTCCCCTTCTCGCCCACGCTCAGCACGTCGAACCTAGTCGTCTCCAAGCTCAACAACGCGAAAGCGAAGCTGGCGAAACCCCTTGAACGAGAGTTTCACGTTGGACCAATAATATCCTGGCCGTTCTTTGGATCAAACAGAGGTGAACTGACCCACCCGACGGAACTTAATCGTGGGCCCTGGCCGAGTTCGAGCGCCTACTTTGCTTCGTGTGCCGAGCGCGAAGTCGACAGTGTCATCAGAGAAAACGAAGGCAAATCCGCGCCCCATCGACTCCACCTCGATCCCGACGAGATTCAATCTTCGCGACACCATCGATTGAAGGCCGTTCCCGGTGATGAGAGTGATGATAGTGACGAATGGGATCTTGAGGAGAGTGAGGAAGAGTGGGAAGGACCTGGTGATGCCATGTATCGCGATTACCGAAGGATGCAAAGGAGCACTTTCCTTATTGCGCACCTTTCGCAGAGGGAGGAGCAGGTGAGGAAGGAGATGGAGAGGTGGGTAAAGATGATGGAACGCCTGGCGAAGGCGACGTTAGACGACTCCCCAGAAACTTTCGGACTGGATCTCCACGATCTCAGCCTTGAGAATATCTTCGTAGACGCCGAAGACAATACTAAGATCGTAGGTCATCTTTTCCATTCTCTTTCGAACCATCTCAATAATCATTCCCTGCCCTATTACAGACCTGTATAATCGATTGGGAATCCACAACAACACGCCCCCTGTGGCAATGCGCTCACCCACCTTCCTTCGTGCAATCCAGCCCCTTCATAACCAAACTATTCCGTGAAGCAATCATAAAAGTCGGCAAAGCCACGCAGGAATCCGCACCCTCGTCGCCCCACCCAGGCAAAGGCGTAGACCTCGCCACCCTCGCACGCGAATGGCTCTTCTACGAGTCCGCGGGCGAGCGCCTGCGCCTCGCGCACCGGTTCGTCGAGTGGGACGGGTGGGAAGAGGGGCTCGCGGATAGCATTTTAGGGCTAGAGGAGAACGAGGAGGATTGGTTCAAGGACCTCACCACCAGTACGAACGTCAATACCGAGTCCCACGTATACTCGCGCGCAGGCGTCAACAGCCCCCCTGTCTCCTCCGCTGGCGAGCTGTCCAATATACTCATCGGCCGGCCGGGCCCCGACCTCGCGCGCCGCAAGCTCCCCGCGAAGCCACCCTTCGCGAAGGAGCAGGAGAAGGAGCAGATGCTCAGCACGACTGGGGACTTTTGTGGAGGCCGCGGCGGGGAGCTCGGGCGCCGGCTGGAGGCGTGGTTGACGCTTAATGGGATTGAGGAGGGGAGGTCGATCGCGCAGAGGTGGGAGCGCGATCATGAGCCGGCGCATGGTCACAGTGCGCAGCAGGTGCTGGTCGAGTAGAGTCGTTCGAGGAGGAGAGTGTGAGAGGGAGGAAATGAGGTTGGCATCTATTGAGCGATGCACGCTACTGCTGGGGGATACTGAGCAAAGCGATAAGCCGCTGAGTACTGAGTTGGTACTTTGTGCTCCTCGTGGATGCAAGCTTGCGAATCTCATGCGCTTTCTCTGTAGCATTTGCCGAGTGTTTTTTGTTAAGTTTAGGGTACATTTTTGATTTGACATGTAATATCTCCAATTTCACGAGTCATCTGGAAACATTAATAGTACGTGTGCCTTGGTCCATAATAGTTGGAAACGTGCCCACCAGGTACGCACTCGACCACTCTAAGTCCTCTCAACACCTCTCCGCTCCGGCTGCGGCTTTATATGCGAGACAAGTAGCGCATGCGCAGCAGCGATGATAGTATTATTAGTACTGAAATACAGATTCAGAACTCATGTTCGTGGTATCGGTGGCGTAGGCTTGTTTAGGTTAGCTGGGCTCTTGTGGCCAAACGCTTTCAGTATACGTAGACCGACTAACTCCCGAGTAAAAGTGTGCTAGAGAAGGTTGCAAAGGCCTTTCCCTGTCGACTAGAGTCTCTCGTTAATTAATTGGTTCTGGCGAACAAAAGACAGGCCCTGCTACTCCAGAGGCGCTACCAGGGTTCGAACCTGGGTTTCGGGAAAGTGTTCGAAGCGTCAAAATCCCGAGTGATAACCACTACACTATAGCGCCTTGAAAGAAACGGAAGTATTTGCTAGCCATGTTTCTATATAGTCGTCGTCGTCGACGACGAACTCTACGAACTGACCCAGACACTGAACTCGGAAGAACACACTAGCTCAGGATAATCAGCGCTCATGAACATGCATAACAGCTTCTCTGCAATCGGTCCACGCACGATTTAGAGAGTGGTATCCTTTGCGGCGCATGTGTCATGTGACAACAAGTGTGGCGCTCTCGCCGCATTCAATCTTTTGATGTTTTAGCCGTAGCACCAGTGCCAGCACGCGTTCGCTCGACGTGTCTTGGATCACACTCTCGTAGAGCAGAGCCCACCACTGTACTCACCATCCACGCACGAATAACGACTCAGACTCGGGCCTTCCCTCCGACTCGGCGTTTCGATGCTTTCATTCTGGCTCTCAAGAGTCCGAATTGTCGAGAATGTATGTATGCACGAAGAGTCGATCAGAACACAGGACAAACCGCATGGCTGTTCCGTCATTTAGAGTAGAGAAGCTCATGCACGTGCCACCTCGTGAGAACTGGCATCCCAATAGAATTCGAAGCTCAAGCGCTGAAGCGCTAATGTGACCGCTACTTCCCGGGAGCATCTTAAAAGGCGTCAAGCCCCTCAGATCTTGGCCATTCTCACGTTACCACTACTATCATAACAACTTCAGAAACAATTGAACTTTTGGACTACAGCATAGTACAATGGGTACGTACCCTTCACTGACCCTCTTCCGTGAGATCTATCTTTAACCAGGCACTCTCTGAGAACAGTACGCCTCCCGCCTTCTGAGGGTCTACCAGGGCCTTGACTGACTCGAGCATCCTTTCTGATTTCTTTCCCAGCCCGGTATTCTTCTCGCTGTGGGTACAATCGCTGCCGTAACAGGCGCAATCGTCACGCCCTTCGCCGCCCCAGCTGTCCTGGGGCTCGTCGGGTTCGGCGCCGCAGGCCCCGTCGCAGGTGAGCGACATCCTTCCCTATAGCCAATAGCAGTAGCCCGGCCAGCCAGTTCACAATAATTATTTTCGCATCAGGGACCATCGCGGCCGGAATCCAAGCCGGGATCGGGAACGTCGCCGTTGGGTCGTCGTTTGCGCTCGCGCAGAGCATCGCGATGGGCGGGGCGGCTGTGCCCGCGTTTGGCATCGCGGCGGGGGGCGGGATCCTTGGGAGTGCGGTGACGGCAGTGGCGGCAATCTTTGTTTGAGCGTCAGTGGACTTGAAGGGAAGAGCCTGAGGTGATTAGTGCTAGTGATTACTGGGTATTTGGTCTTCAGCCTAGTGGCAGCAGGGGCTTGCTCCGACGCTGTTAGCACACTCACTGGCAGGTTTCTTTTGCCGTCTTGCACTGTCATTACTACTACAGTATTCGTTGATGATCGTTATGAAGAGGGGTGCTCTGCTGGCAGAGTACCGTTTTACCGTGACTCTGACCGTGATTTGAGTTCGTGCGCCATACTATGATATTGATATCGATACGGAAGCCCATTACAGTATCTCCCCGTAGATCTAATCACAGTGACTCCGGAGTCCGAGCCCACCATTTGCAACGCGAACGCGGTGATAATCGAGTTGAACAATTAATCGGCGGTACTTAGTGCCGTAGTCGCAGTCGCAGTCGCGGCACACCATGACATGCCCGGCGGGTCCCATATGGGACCAAAAACACAAAAGCAGTCGGACGAAAGAATCGTAAGGCGCTACCAGGGTTCGAACCTGGGTTTCGGGAAGATATTCTGCATAAGGCGCAATCAAAATCCCGAGTGATAACCACTACACTATAGCGCCTGTGCCCTTCCACTGTACACTGAAGAGCTTCGGTCCACGAGGGGAGAAAGGGGAGTTACGAGCCAAGGAGGGGAGTGTAAGTGATAGAATTCAAAAGACACGATCACGATTCACGACAACTACGTCGACGCGATCGAGATCGCGACATAAAACAGTAAACAGTAGTTTGTAATCCACTGAGACACGCACAGACACAGACAGACAGAACACGGTAACGGTAACGGTAAACAGCAACAGGACACAGTAACAGGCACGGTAACAGAACAGGATACGGGGTACGGTACGGTACGGGGGCACAGGAGTAATACGGGATACGGGAACGGGAGCACGGGGGACGGGATGCAGAAACTACCAGGGGCTAGATACGGATACGGATAGGGAGGAATGTCACATAGATGCGGATGCGGGGCGTAAGAGTTCAATCAATGAATGTCACTACGAGTGTCAATGCCATATCGTCATCAAGCTCACGAGCGAGCGAGGTATATATGTATAAGTACGCATCTGCTAATTAACCAACAACACGAACACGAACACGAACACGAACACGAACAGTCGAGAAAGTCCATCCATCCATTACGTCCTACACCTCACACTCTCCCCTCAGCCAAATTACAACACCATGCCGAGGACGGCAGCAGCAGCGCCGAGGAGGACGCCCGCCTTTGCGACGCCCGCGCTGACGGCGCCGTTGCCCTTGGAGGACGCCGAGCCAGTAGCAGAGGCGGCGGCGCCGGAGCCGGTCGCGGAGACGGTGCCCGAGACGGCGGAGACGGAGGAGGAGAGGCCGGGTGTTGCGGTGGGGTATGCGGAGCCGAGGGCTTCGATTGAGAAGGGGGAGGACTGGACGTAGTACTGCGAAATTGGAATCGGGATGTTAGTTCGGTTACGTTTGTATGTATAGAGAAGAGAAGAGGAGGGAGGGGAGGTAAGAAGGGAGGACACGTACGTCAGAAGAGTTGAGGGTGTTGGCAAAGTAGACGACGTAGTTGTCGCCCGGGCCGGCGGTGAGCATGTCTTGGGTGATGAGCTGGGAGCAGACGTAGTTTTGCTCGATGGCGATGATGGCGATGGGGGTGGTGAGGACGGTTGGGTTCTGTTATAATGGTAGGTTAGTGGAGTACTGGGCAGGGGGCAAGGGACAGGGGAGACGTACGGTGTTGCCTACGAGGACGGTGAATTCGGGGTTGGCCTGGGCCTGGGGATCGTTGCACGTCCAGGTGAGGGTATTTTCAGACTTGGCAACTGAGTTTGGTGTTAGTGGACGTCGAGACAAAAAGGACGTGGATGCTTACCCCACCAAACATCAGAGCTGGGGGAGAGGATCTCCCAGTCAGCAGCAACAGAGGCGACGAGGCCAGCGAGGAGGGCAAGGCGGGGGAAGAGCATTATATTATGTAGTAGGGAGGGAAAGAACGTGGGTGAGCTCTATGAGGAGAGGGCAATCGACGTGGATGGGTAAAAGAAGAAGACTTCAACTAGAGTCGGAGCTTGAATTAATAGAATGGATTTTTTTGACAGGTCTGATGGGTTGAGCGCAGCGACGATCGTGTTTATATCCTCGGCTGTATCCCGAATGTAGCCAATAGACTTCGATATCCAGCATGCTTCGAATTAAAGCTTTGACTTGTCGTGCTGTCCCATATAAACGCGGACGCGCGGCGTTGGGCCTCTTCTTTCTTTCTTGGCTCCAACCAACGCGCAACCATGTCCTCCCTTCCCCCTCTCCCCGACTCTCCTCCCTCCTCAGACGACCCTCCCATCCGCCTAGATACGACCTCTGACGAGGAAGATCTCGACTCGACGTCCTCGTCTGATATCGAGATCTACCTGACTTCGCTGCCTATGACTGAACTCTCGCTTTCTATCTCTAGACCATGTTTGTGCTTGCTTCGCATCGCATCTGAGAGTAGTATTTTGACGCATATATGCGCGTATTTATTAGCAGACGACCAGACTTTTAGCACGAACAGCAACAGCAAAAGCAACAGCAACACGCAATCTCAATCTCTTAACCTTGGCACTAGCACTAGCACTTCCCCTCCTCCTCTTCCCCCCGCACCCGCCCAACACCCCATCCCCCTCCCATCCATATCCAGCCCCATCCCCAGTCCCCCTCCCTCCCCACCCTCCGAGCCCTCCCCCTCCCCCTTCCCCTCCCTCGATCCATCCTCAGACGCCGCCTCCGAGCCCTACGCCCTCCCCGACCCGAAACCCGACTCCTCTGGCAAGACGCCAAACGTATACATCAACGGTCTCCCGCCGCACTTCCCCGAAGACCAGCTCTACGCCCTCGCCGCGCCGTACGGGCCCATCTGCTCCGTGCGCACCTTCACGCGCCACGTCCGCGACTGCGAGAGCGGGTATGGATTCGTCCTTTATGAGACCGTCCAGGCGGCGGAGAGGTGCATCGCGAGTTTGAGGAAGTATCGGAATTTGCATCCGACGTTTTCGAAGGTGCGTTCAGAGAGAGTGTGTGTGGCGAGTTGAGTCGAATTGAGTTAACGGTGATGATTTTGGGTTTAGCAAGCGCATAAAATCCCAGGAACGCGCCCCGTCCCCCCGCTGGACATCCACCTTGCCCTCCCTCCCCCTTCGTCCGTCTCTACCTCTACCTCTGCCTCTGTAGCGACATCAGACGCGTCTATACCGACGACCCACCAAGACCAAGACGGCCTCGCCAACGTAGTCCCATCTATCTCGACCTCTACCTCAAGCACCAGCGCCAACGACGCCGAACGCACCGACGCGTCCGCGCCGCCTCCTACTCCGAGTAGTGTCAGCGCCGTCAGCGCCAGCGCGCTGGGGATATCCGCAACGGCCGCGGCCGCGGCGTCGACGGACAGCCTGAGCGCCACGGGCAACCGACACGTCGCGGGTGCGGGTGCGGGTGCGGGTGCGAGTGTGGGTGCAGGTGCAGCAGGGACAGGGACGGCGATGGGCAGCACGGCGTTCAAGGCGAAGATGGAGAGCCTCGCGGACCGGACGAGCACGAATTTGTACATGGAGGGGTGGGTCTTTTATCTTGTTTTCGTTTTCGTTTTCGTTTTCGTTTTCATTTCGTTGTGCTCGTGCTCGTGCTTATGCTGACGCCCCCCGGTTCGCGCAGGCTGCCTCTGAGCATCGACGACGCGGTACGTACACATATACACCTACACCTACACACCTGCGTGTGTAGGGCTTCGGGCTGAGAGTGAGATCTGAGACTGACGATGGCATGCGCCGCTGCGGCGTGCACGCAGACCCTCGCGGCGCTCGTGTCGCCCCACCGGATATCCTCGTCCCGGTTCTTCCAGACGAGGCTGAGCAACCCTCCGAGGATTATCGCGTTTGTGAGGTACGTTACGTTCCCTCCTCCTCTTGGCCCTTCTCTCCCGCACCACCGTGCCACTGTGTCCCCGTGCTTCCACCCCACCCCAGATCGCAGGAGCGGACGCTGAGCTGACCTACACGCAGGTTCGAGACGCGCGCGGGCGCGGAAGAGATCATCGAGCGCCTGCATGGGAGGATGGTGCGTGGGTGGAACGATGTCGGGAGCCGGATTTCGGTGAGGTTCGCGGATACGGCGGAGCAGAGGGAGTTGAGGGTGAGTTTGCGTTTGCGTTTTTCTTTTGGGTTTCTTTTTCGGAGTTGGGGTGTCGAGCTCGAGCTCGAGCTCGGGCAAAGTTGTTGCGTTTATATTTCGCGTTTGTTTGCCCCCTCGTTCCCTCCACTCTTCTCTTCGCTTTGTCTTCTTCCGTTTTGGTCTCGAACGTATAGTTGTGTGCTGGTTCACTTCGTCTTCCCTTCTTACTTACAACAACTTGAACTTCATTTTTTGTACCCATTGTTTCTTTCGTTTCACTTCGTTCTGCTCCGCGTTTCGTTTTCGTTGCTTTTCTAAAATATTTGGAGTTTGGGTGTCGAGCTCGGCCATGGGCATGGTGTTGGTGGTGCGTTCGTGTCGTGTGCTGCTTCTCTTCATTTTCTTCTGTGTCGGCTTAGCTCTTCAAGTTGTGCGGTTTACTTTATCCCCCCTCCCACAAGGGTCTTCTTTCTCTATTTCCTGTTCCCACTTTTCCATTTCGTTTGGTTTCGTTCCTGCACTGTACTCACCACACCGACCCACAGCGCAACGCCCGCCTTGCACCCGAAGGCGACTGCGACGGCACGGGCGAGGACAGCCCGTCCCCTGCAAGGCTTACGATTGCGCAGGCGGCGCTGTTGAATTTGCACGGGCAGCAGGGGCTGCGGTCGCATCAGTCGCAGTCGCAGTTGCATTCGCGGTCGCCGACACCCTCGCACGCACACGCGTATCCCCACGGACAGGCTCACGCTCCAGTGCCACGCGGACACGGACACGCATACGCACACGGGCAGGGCCACGGACACGGACACGGACACGGACACCTACCCCCGCCCGTGACGGGCCCGCCTCTGCGTCTCCCCACGCCCGGAAGGGCGGTTTTGGAGCACGAGGAGTACGGCCATGGACATGGGCATCATGCGCATGGCGCCCATACTTATTCGCATTCGCATTCCCAGCAGCAGCAGCACCCGTTCACGCACAACCACCCCCACCCCCAGTCCTACCCCGCCCCCGTCCCCGCGCACGCGCACGTGGGCCATTACCCCTCGCAAGCTCTGTCTCATTCGCATCCGAGTTCGCAGCAGGTGTATGGTTTTGACGGGGATAGTCAGAGGGAGAGGGAGAGAGAAAGGGGGCGAGCGAGGAGCCCCCCGTTTGCGGTGGATTATTCACTGGCGCCGACTAGGCGCCCGCATGCGCGCCCGGGGTACGCTGCCCATGCGCATGCGAACCAGGGTACCGGTGCTGGTGCTGGTGCCGCGATGGACCCCGCGATGGCGGCGCTGCTGGAGTCGTTGCATTCGCAACAGAGTACCATGCCTGGGTCTCGTCACCGGGATGGTAGGGATAGAGACAGGGACAGGGAAAGGGATAGGGATAGGGATAGGGAGGAGTACGATGCATATGAGTATGATAAGTACCCCCACCCCGC